TCCTCCACCTCCAAAAACACGCGATCCAAGACTAGAGGCACTAATTCGCCTAAATGGCATTAATACAGAGGAGGTCGAGGGACCCAGACGAGCGTTGGACGATGCTGTGGATTGCGCCATTGCACCCATAAATGTCGAATCCCCGTTGGTAAGGCTGCCTGGTGTCTGCGGCTGATAGGAGGATGGTTCCACGGTGACATGACGTCGTTTGCCGCAGCGGAGCACATTCGCGCACTGTTCCCTAAAGGCAGCGCTGGTGGCCAGGTAGATGTAGAACTTCGCTGCATAGTGCGATATCCCGAAAGACTCGATGAGTGAGCGAACTGTAAAAAAGCGAAAGTGCCGCCGCCACACGGGATCCTTGGATATCTCCTCATCCGTCATGCATATGTCCCCCATAGGAAGAATTATGTAGAGTACAACCATCACAGCGACAGAGAGATGAGCAAAAATAAGGTAGAAGGAGACGCAGAGTAGGGTGAGGGTGCTTGATTGTTTACTCTGTCGCTCGTTGAATGAGGTCTCGAGTTGGGGGAGAAATACGGAGCTAGTAGTGGAGAAGCGGGCACAACTGTTGTTCTTCGGCAGACGTGGTAGTACGCGATCTCTCTTAGAGGCGCTTGATTCCTCATGAGAAAGCCTGTGCAAAGCGCGAATAACAAGAATGTTGAGAATGAGGCAGATAATTGGAACAAGACCGAACATCAGGAGTTCAGTAAACATAATCCATCCAGTGTAGAAAAGCCACTCCGGCTCACCCTCCTGCTCAAAATCCGGTCGTAGACCGCAGTTTCCATTGGAGACTGTATAAAATACGCCTTGGACGCTCGCCAGGAGGGCACAAAAAACAATCGTTGCTAAGACAACGTGGAATGCACTTTTGCAATTGTTGCCGAAATTTCGAGCTCCCGCGCGAAAAGGAAAACAGATCGCAATGTACCTTTCTACCGTAAACACAAGAGTGAGCATGGGACTGGCGTACTGGATTAGATAATTGGCTATAGCGAAACCCTCGCAAACGACGATATGATCGAGCGTTCGTAGGCGCCAGGCGGTGTGGAGATACCACATCAACTGTACAAGAAAGAAGAAGAGATCAACCCATCCCAGCGCGGCTTGGTATATGGCTGCCGCCACACTGCCCTGTTTGCGCATGTTCCGCCTAGACCAAATGTAAATGCTGAGTATGCTTCCGGGCAGTCCTAGGGAACACCAGATGGGATAGCTAACCTTCTCCACCATCTCGTTGATTGGCGGGGCGAAGCGCGAGTACATGAGCAGATCGCTACCGTTGTTGCGAGTAATCACATCCAGTGTGCCGTTAGGACACACAATGGGCGCCTGGGTGACAACAGTGATGTTACCTAACAGTTTCCCGTGCGGATCCATCCTCACGATTTGCCTCCGCCACCGTAGTGTGCTTCAGGCTGGAGCACTTAGGGCACTAAACATCACATCATGCTGTCAGTTCGGCTGATCGTAAGCCTCTATTATTTGCTTAATCCGCGCATTACTGTCAGTAGGTGACCCAATCACGCGCTGAAACGGTTCCACCAATGCCACGCGGGGTGCGTGCACGCTGTGCGGACGTGGTAGGCGCTTACGTGCGCGAACAGGCACGAAGTGAGCGCGAGAGCGAGACAAGGTGAAGTGGAGTACAAGACAGGTTATGCGCATTACGCCCTGGCGGCTTGGCTCACAGCAGAGGCGCATAAATCTTTCAAGTGCTCAAATGGCGGCGCGTGCCTTCCTCAATTACATCACCGTGCCGCACACACACACACACCTAGCGTTTGTATGTTTGTAATGTAAAACTCACCCCATACCATGGTTAATGTAAACACTTACAGCACTCACGAATGGGTCCAAACCGCACCATATTAGGGCAGCTTTAACCCATCCTTCAGTTCGTAATGGGATTTTAGAGATATCTACTTTTGAAGTGATTTCCTCTGTTTACCGAAGGTCACTGAACTGTGCAGCCAAATAAACTATGAGGGTCTATTTCTCCATTTTTGTTTGGCAGTTAAACAAGCAGCTCACTTTAAGGTCGAACCATGTAAATTCCATTGTTTGTAGTCGTGTAAATATGGGAACGTCTGTTGCCATAGCTGTGATGTAGCCATGAACAAAGAATTGCATAATGCATTATTAACGACTCCTCTTTACTTTGACGTTAGGGGAGGAGAACCTGTGGGCAGTTTGGGGGTTGTGATGGGTTTCTGCCACTTAAAGGCCTCGTCGATACCGATAGCCTCAAAGTGTTTACGATTCTGAGCTTGTTCGCCAATGTTGCACAGAAGCGAGTGCAAAAAGTTAAAGAGAAATAGGCAACACATATTTATAAATCAAAATGTGTTCATTCTTTAAAGAAAGGTTAGGGGTTCATGAAATATAAATTCCTCCCCCCACAGCTATACCGTTTTTCCATCCCCAAAGCTGTGTCAGCGACTGGAAGAATCGTTAGATCCACCATTCCAAAAAATCATCTCACACCACTAAAGGTAGTGGTGGGTCCTCATTTCCACTACACCTATATTCGCATTCCTTAAATGACGGTAACAGAGGGAGGGATCAAAGAGCCAACCCCTTCGGTTTTTATTGTCAACAGGTTGATCTCAATGGTAGCTCAGGTGATTTCGTGCCACATTAAAAATTGTATATCTCAATGGGAGCAGACACGGCTTTATTATATTTTGGTAAAATCTCAGTTATTCACTTATTCTACCGCATCTCCTTGACCAAATGTCCTTCTAAGTTCCTCCTTTGGGTCTGATTTACAAACTGGCATTTTGTTAATTAGCAGAAACCTAAAAACAGGTGATTTTTTTCTATGTACAGTGGGTTTGCTCGAGAGCTGTGACTGGGGGTTTTAACAATGAAAATTCTCGTTCACATGGTGCATCCGTTCCGCCCTCTGAGCCACTCAATCTATCATCTTCATTTAAAATTCCATTCCACGAAGGTGCTAATCAAAAGCAGGCAGGCAGGGAACAGGGAGTAGGGGATGATAACAAGGTGTCGTGTTTACCCTCCTACGGTTTATGAGTGTGTCTACTTGCAATCACATGTTGGTTCACATGGTCGGCGGAGCTCTAGCAGGGGTTGAGCGCATTCATAATTCATCCTTACCCCCACGTTAAGCATCCTTGAATGAAATGCTGAGATAGGGCCAATGTTCCCACCAACCCCGCCACATTTTGGTGGCATCAAACAGAGGAATTTGTGTAGACAATGGCCGTTTCCGTTTAGAAATGGATAAAGGGATTAATGCCGTGTCACATTCCACGTTGATTTTAAATAGCCATAGACACTTTTTTAAATAAGCTTAGAGCAACAATTTGGTGAGGCCGAAGCTGAATAAATGATGCTTTCACACCTGGGTTCAAACTGCCCATTGTTTAAGCATGATAACAAACCATTTTATTGCCTCTTTGAATAACCTTACCACGCCATGTCACTGTCAAGTTAATATTCATACTGCGTTTGATACATGGTGGACTTGACAACGTCATCTCCTTACATGGATACAACACTGACAAGAACTCCCAAATTTGCTGTTTCGCTGGTCTGACTCAGGGAGTATGTCCACATGCAGATAAGGAGAGTGAAAGAAAGTGATTTGGAGAGAAAGTGATCATCCCATCCTACACAAGTCAGGGTAAAATAAACACCGGGACAAGGTAAGTCATGCTCTCGAATTTGCCCTCTGCCAGTTCAGTTGAGCTACAAGTTGGGCCTTGTTCAGCGAAGCGAACAAGGCTACCTACCCACCCACCTACCGAATAACCCAAGTGTAAACCGCGACTTCTCCATGTGCCTCATTTGAAGCGCCGAGTAGAGTGAAGTAGCAAATCGCCTTCAAATATGTACGACTTTTTTTCGTGACACAATTTAACACATTGTACTGGAATGTTGCCATGGCTACCCATCGTTTCTATACCTATGACTCGTATAATTCATTAAGGGAATGGATACTGCATGATGTTTTGCCTTGTCATTTAGCTGTATCTGGAATAGCTGTAAATGGGGAGGGCACGATTTATGAAGAAGCAGGCTAGTACTGAAGCTACCACTGTAGGGGGATAAAAACGCGCCACTTTTGTATCACTTAAGTGATGTTAAAGCAGTTTTTGGAATGCTACATGGGAAAAATAAATGACAGGGTAGCAGTTAATAAAATGGATTAAGAGGCATCTGTCTCAGTAAATGCGTGGAGCTTTACCCTCTTACGAGCTAATCACTCAAATGCAGAGTACGGATGTAAAAAGCATTGCACAAACGATGGTAGCGGATTGGAAGTTGACACAGCGCTAGCCCAACGGCAAGATGAGCGTGTTTATCTGCCAAATGCATCTAAGTGGTGGAACTTGGTAATTTTACTCCACTTTCAGCCATGAAGCATGCGGCTCTGCGTGGAAAAAAGGTACGTAATGAAGGGCAAACAGCAGTTGGTAGAGCCTCCAGAAGGGGATACTTCGCGAGAGTGAAAACTCTACCTTTCCATGTGGCTGGAACCTCAGTAGTAATATTTGCCATATGTGGGGTCTTTGGTCATTGTAATGATGTGTTTTACACCAGGAGCACTTTATACTCACACGCAATTAATAACATACAGAGGTGTTAACTTGCTTCACACACGAGATTATGGCACAGGAATATTTCATCGGATTGAATTATAGCTTTTAAATTGATGAATGGGTGACCAGGAATAAAACAACCATCCGGAACGTTGTAATACTGTTTGAAGACTAAGCACTGATTTATGGTGTCGCAAATCGCTGAAGCTCAGGGTAACTACCAAATCCTGGCCATATTTTTACTTAGAAGTAAAAACTAGGAGTCTTAAGTGACCTTCTCTAGCTACTCAAAATCGTTATGGATGAATGCGTCAGTCATCGCTTTCGGAAGTATGCTAATTTGGCGTACGGCCTATAAAGAACGACAGAAATCGGGGTAATGCACACTGACTAATGAATAAGGATCTTTGGATATCATTCCCTGCCTGTGTACGAATCGTTATAACTTCTAAGATGACGGATAACTTTGACTCTCACACTCCCATTTATGGTTGTGGTAAAAGTGTAAACACCCACTCGCAGTTTTGTTAATTATTTTTTAAATGATCCAAAGTTCACCAAAAACGTGTGGTCACTCCTTTCCCCGATCCACCAAACCCATGTGCAGATGTTTACTTTTTTGCTCCATCTAGGTGGTCTATGTGAGCCCGTTGGTGTGGTTATGACCACATTCCCACCTGACCTAGTCATATGGAGCAGAAGGTGTATTTCAAGCTTCAAAAATACCCTATTGTGCTTCATGTCAAAATAGCTCACTCACTTTGCTTTTTATTGTAAACAATTAAAGCCCGGATATCCTCTACATCGTAATGTTTTTTGTTATCTTCCGCACAAACACATGATCCTGGCATTAACGGCAACAGGCAAGACTGAGCATAGGTACACAGGTAAGCCAATCCATAACATAACACAAAAAATTGGAAAAGGAGGCTACTCAGACCTCTCCTTGGGCTACTGGAGTTTTTTTCAAAGCAAACAAAACCGAAATAGTATAGAGCGACGCAAGGGCAGAACTCATCGGTTGGGCACGACACCCTCCGAAAGGAACACCAAGAAAGGATATTTCTCCTAAAGAATAAAATTACCTACACTCAACTTTGAGGCAACAAAAGATTACGAGGCATTGCGCGATGCCTTCCTCGGAGTCTATCTCACAGCAGGCGTGCAGGAGGAATGAGGGTATACTACCACCTCAGGTAATAACGAGGTGGAAAATCATTTCCAACAACCTCAGTAAGAGTGTTCACTACAAAACTTTAGATCTCTCCCACGCCAAATGGAAAATAGGAAGGAAAATAGGAAAAATAGGAAAATAGGAAGTGTTACGTCTGTATGCACTCGCTCCCGAGATGTTCAACTACTTAATCAACAAAGCAGAAGCTGTCCGGGACTCGCTTTAACGATTTACTTTGGCTTTGACATTTCCAGAAAAAAGCGCATCATCCACAGTGGATTGCCCCTTGTCTACATCATCACGTGTGATGGTCTTGGCCCACCTCCAACGTTCATCTTGAACTGTCACACTGGGATAAAGTGATCTCATTGGTTAGGCAGAGTATCGTCAGCTGCCCCCATTCGCGCTGCAGTCGATTGGTTCACGATGGAACGCCTACTTAAAAAGGCACTCACTTTAATAAATGCTGGTCTATAGAGCAAATCGGAGGCAAAAAGGGGCTTAATTGAGATGGTGTAAGATCACAGCTAAGACTCCAGATGTAACAACTTGGACACTGCAGTTTAAGAAATTCTGCATGACTTACTGGCATAACGGTATCCTGGACGGTTAGTTGGACTAGAACTTTACCGGAC